GTTTAGGGTTTAGGCAATAGGGTTTGGGCTTGGGGTTCATGGTTCAAGGTTTAGGGCTGCGGGAGTAGTTCGAATACTGGGATCGCGGTTTTGAGGTAGCAAGGGCTTCAGAGGGTTCAGGGGGTACGACTGATCTACGATCATACTCTGAAGTCAGTTGTTGCGGGGTGATCCATGTTCCCTGCCCCGTAAGATGTGGCCCCCTGATAATTTAGCTACTCAGGCATGGACTGACATCCCTCCGGTAGAAATGCATCTGAGAACCGGGGTTTCTCTGAAGGAGGGTATGTTGGATCCTGATTAGTGCGACCGCCAAACAAACAGGGGTGCCTTAACCCTAAACCCTAAACCCTAAAGGTCATCAAAGTAAATGTGGGGTGTGGGGGATCCCACGGCTCCTAGTAAAATCGTCTATAGACTTGGAGTGGCTCAGTTTAGCTTTGAAGAGAATAGGAAGAGGGTTTAGGGTTTAGGGTCTATGTCCTAGACCCTAGACCCTAAGCGCTAAACCTTAGGAGGACCCCCCACCCTGTAATAGTGGTACAATAGAGGACCTGAATATAATCTTTATTATCCCCTGCAGCCACTATTACAGGGTGGGGGGTCCACCGAAGCTAAACCCCTAAACCCAAAACCCTAAACCTAATAGGAGAGGAGAAGGAAAGTCAACAGCTCAGCTTAGTTTAGCTAGAGAATAGGAAGGGCTGGGTCCTTGGGAACGAAGCTCGGCCTTAAAGTTTTAAGGTCCGGCCTTTAAAACCCTTCAAAAAACGACTGCAACAAAACCAAATTCTTTGAAAATCCAATTCGAATCCTGCTGAAGGCCAATGAAATTCGAATCTTAGAAACTGACGAGGACCTCTTAGAACCTTATCAACACGAATTGGAATCTCATGAACATCAACAAACCCCCCAAGTACAAGCAACTAGACAAACATAAAGTAGAGTGGCCTCACCATTGACCCACCAAAAAATCTTGACATAACTGAAACCCGCAAACCATGTAAGCCGTTGAGGTTCAAGGGGCCTGCTGGACTACCCCCTTTGGAATTTGATTGGCTGGCCTGATCGAACAAGCGATTAAACAAGAAACCGATGTTGCTAGCATCAGATTCTAGATTCCAGGGGTTATAGAGCCTGGCCTTTTTAACTCTAAATCCCAGACCTTTAAATCTAATAGCTGTTTGATCTCACCATTAGCCCGCACTAATCGGGATTCAACATTGGATCGGAAAAGACCTGAACCCGCTGCTAAGCTAATCAGGATAGGTACCTTCCTCAGCCTTACACTCAGCCGGCCCAGCAAACCTTAGACCTCTGGCATATGTCGCCTTATCTGGAACCATCAACCCTACTTCTTCGTCAAAAGCTAGAGTCAAACATACTCAACCACACAACCCCGAAAACCTGCAGCCCGTAGCCCCAAATGCAAAACCTAATCCCTAGACCCTGAACTCGTCATTCCCTGCTGTTGATGATCTACTCCCTCATCAAATGCATTAGCATGCTAGTACTGAGATCAGGCAGGATTTTTGGGTGTAGGGTTTTGCTTTTTTTAGGAATACCCTTTTTGGGGGGCCCCCATGATAAGGACCGTAGCGTATTGGGGCCTATACTGCGGTACCCCCGTTTATGGAAACTAGCCTATCAAGCCTAACCCTAGACCCTCAAGCCCATATAGACTTGCCATTACGTAGGGTGCACCAATGTCCTTAATTCTTCATTTTCTAAAATTGTAAAATCAAAAATCCGCCCCCAAACCCTAAGTAATGGTAATTAACCCTTAGACCCTTCAGCCTTTGTGAAGCTGTCCATATCCAGCCCAAGATCTTCAGCAGCACTTCCGTGCATTCCCTCGTTCTTCAGCCTGCCGCGACAGAGGGTTGGGTTAAGGGTTTAGGGCACACACTTTACGGGCAATGTTTCAGGGCTCAGGCTCTGGATTTGGAAGCCCCAATCCCTTCTGGCCTCAAGTACAATCACTAAACCATGATAGTGAAGGTTACAAGTATGGGCCCTTAGGCCTTTTAGGGGGATTTTAGGGATCCCTTAAGGGTACATATAGCGTATACACTAGATATGTAAGGATCCCGGGGTTAAGGGCCCATACTAGGGGCCCATGGTTTCGACCTTAGACATAGATTCTGCCAATGTAAATCGCTCCAGGCTTCTAGATTCATATGAGCAGTGTCTTTTTTTGGTGGTTAAACTAGTAAGATTATATTCCTTATAGAAAAAATACCCCAAAAGGAGGATATACTCTTACTCTATATTGGGAAACATAATATATCCCCAAATAAAATACTACTCATATGAGAGGATGTTCTTGGCGGTTGAACCAAGTAAGATCATATTTTTCTAAGCCACTATACAGACTGCACATGAATATTTAGGGTACCCAAAAAAGGGACCATAATTTTGACAACCACCCATATGGATAGTATGTCCTGACCACGGCTACAAATTCCTCATTGGGCTTCTTATTACACGTCCCCTGCTGACTGAGTAACGGACCAGAATAGATCACAGAAACCAACAACCCGTGCCCGCTTCGTTCCATGTCATCTACAAGGAAATACCTTTCAAAGAAAACGCTCCGACGAGTAAAGTGATGGTGAACAGAACGTGAGTAAGCCTTACTGAAACCCACACCCCAAACCCTACACCTCTAAAGAACTGAAGCCCCCCAAATTTAGACACATGGCAGGCGTAAGCTGGGGGTGCAGCTTTAGCTGATTCCAGCGCTGCTTTAGGGACATGAACACTTCGATGGTGAAGGCCTGACAATACGTGGCTTTGCATCTGTCAACAGAAGGGTTTCCATTCTAGGGGTTATATGGAACGGAGTTCTCATAATTGCAGTATGCTGAGGGAAGTTGTGAATATACAGGGATTGCTGAGGGGCCGGGGGACACAAGCTTTGGCGAACCATCCAGCTAGTTGAGGATGTGGAGCTTCGGTTTTGCAAACTCAGCTCGGGGTTTGGAGGCCTTGAAAGGAACTTAAACAGGTCTCAGGGTTTAGCACTGGCCCTAAGCTCTCATCTCATTTTACAGAATCTCGGAGTATGTGCTTTTCAAGTGAGGGCTTGTGCTAGTTGGTGTGTGGGAACAATTGGTTCATGGTCATGGACAAGCACTGGGGAAGTCTGGCACGTACTAAGTAGTTATCTTCCGACGGGCTGCAATGCTTTCAGCTGAGCCGAAAAAATCTGGTGCCTTGAGCTTTTTGCTATACTTGGAGGCTCAGCGGGACTTAGCAAGTGTACGTAGAAGCCCATGACCCATATAGCAACTCTAGTTATCCCAATTCTTAACCTACTTGCTAAGTCCTCCTATAAGTCCCTTGACCATACAAGTAGGGTTCTACGCAAAACGACTAGGGGCTTCTTCTTTACCCATGCGAATCCTCAAAGTCAGCCTCCTTGTGATGAGGAACCCGACGTTGAGACCTTGGGATGGAGGTCCTAAGATACCAGCGATACCTTTTCCCGGGTCCACATGATAAGTGGGGTTCCCAAATTTTTGGAACATACTAAATTATGACTCTAAGAAACGGCCCCCCATGAGCACGTACCTAGCCTCTAACATGCCCAGACTAATGTTGAGCACCAGCAGGGTGGATGCGAAAAATCCTGCATGACCCTAAGTACCCTATAACTTGAGTTTAAACCCCAAACCTTGCTATAGTATAACGGGATCATGCACGATTTTGAATATCAACAGTATCCCCACCGTCCGGCTAAGTACACCCAGAACCCCTAAACCCTGAAACACGGTTGCCTAACCCCTAAACCCTCTCCCCTAAACCGTAGATCCAAAGTTCCCTAACCCCCAAAACCCAATAAACACCAAACCCTAAGCCCAATAAACCCTAAGCCCTAACCCCTCAACCCTAAACTACCCGAACCCCCAAAACCCTAAACACCAAACCCTGAAAGCTCTTGAGCTGAACCTGCCGAAAGAAGTCCCAGGCCTTGACGAGCTCGAAGACGATGCTCACGCCGCAGACGTAGAAGACCGGGAACATGATCCTGCGGTTGAGGGTCATAGGGGTTCAGGGTTTGGGGGGTTTAGGGGTTATGTAGGGGCTATATTGGGATAATGGAAAAGAAAATGGAAACTACTATAATGGGATTATGTAGGGTTTAGGGCTCGAGGGTCTAGGGTTTAGATTGGGTACTGCCCCCACCCAGTAACAGTCTATATTAGGGGTCCTATTAAGGGCTATATATAACGATATTGTAATTATTATCCAACTGTTACTGAGGGGGGGCAGTACCCAAGGTCTAGGGTGTAGGGTGTAGGTTTAGGTGCTAGGGTGTAGGGTTTATGCTGTAGGGTTTGGGGTTTAGGGTCTAGGGTTCAGGATTTAGGGGGATCAACTGAGATATGGTAGGATGTTAATTTGCGATTCCCCCGAACTGGAAACCAAAAACTCCACTTACCAGCATCCTTGAGGAGTCCTATACACACACAGCAAAAACAACTAACAAAAAAAACCTACTTCAGAGGACTGCCCCTTCTTAAATCATGTCGTTCCCCTCCTTAAAGTTACCCTTCTTGCCGCTCTATTGCTCTATTAGCAGTACTGTGGATCTTGCACAATGATATGTAGCCCCAATGATGGAAAGTAAGTGGTGCAAGATTTCCTCCATCCACCGCAACCTCAGACCCTACACCCCTAGACCCCAAACCCTAGACCCACAGTAGGAAAGCCCAAAAGTTGAAGTCACAAGGTGTCAGTGATTGTGGTTTATTGTGTGGACGTGCAGGTGTAGGGATTAAGGTTGAGAGAGGACAAAACCTCAGCCTAGGCTGAAATGCCGTCGCTTAGGGTTGGGGACTTAGGGTTCAGGATATAGGGTTTAGGATATAGGGTTTCAATTTAATGTTTAGGGTTTAGGGTACAGCATCACAACCCAACAAAAAGCTGGGAGCATGATGAATGCAAAAATCGAACTAACCAAGGTTCAAACTACAAGTGTGAACAGTTGACCATTCTAGCATCCCGGCATCCTAACCTTTCAGATATTAGGGTTGTAGGGTTTAGGGTTTGAAGGTTTAGGGTTTTAGGGTTCAGGGTTTTAGGGTTTAGGGTTTAGGGAACCATGTGATCCCCAACTGAGGTTTGCAGCCACATGATGTCCAGCTGAAGGGAATCGCGGACGTGCGCGAAACAGCCTCGCTGCACAAGGGCTAAGCTTTGCAAATGACTCCGGGCCTTTACTGTAAGTGTTGTTATAGGGATTACCAAAAGGGCCCCTGAAACCCTATAATCTCCATAAATAGCTCCCGAGACTACAAACTTAGCATGGGATGCTTCTCCGGGATACTTCAAAATGGGAGTGCAAAGAGAGCAAAGCAATCCCAGTCAAGTCCACGGATCACACAAACCTTGGAAGTCTAGTCATGTAGGAACCTGAATAGATAGGAAGATTGTTGTCTGATAGTAAGTAATCCTCGTGCAATTGTAGTGTAAAATGTCTTAAGATCATAATTTTACAATTTAGGCACCTATCGTACACACCCTAAACCCTAAACCCTAAACCGGGTTTAGGGTTTAGGGTTTAGGGCCTAATGACCTCCTGGAAGGTCCTTCAGGGCTATTCAAAGCGGCAAGGCAAAAAAAGTTCCTCACGGACAAAGTACGGAAAAAACCTCCTTTCCCATTTGAGCAATGTTTTTTTGGTGGTTAAACCCAGTGAGATTATATTCCTTATATAAAATACTATACACCAAAAGGAGGATATTTGTAAGTCTCAATCTACCCAAGAGTCGCGGATTTAGGCTCCTCTTCAGAAGTCATCTCTCCATCTTGATCTCCAACTATGAGCCCTGGACTGAAGTTCTGACATATTCCGTTATAGGTGCCCCTATACACCCCATACATACCCCTATAGGCCTCCCAAACCTAACTTCAGTCCGTAGCTCATATGAGTAGCGTTTTTTGTGGTTAAACCCAGTAAGATAATATTCCTCATATAAAATACTATACCCCAAAAGGAGGATTCCTGACAGGAAATATGGGGCTCCAGCATATACGGATCATATACGTAGGGATTACATTTTATAGGGATCATGTAGAGATTAGGCAGGGATTATTTTCCCTTATTCCCTACGTATTAACAACCAGTAAACCAAGCTCCTTATCCAACAAAATCAGCCAATGAAAGAAAACGCTTCAAGTACCCAGACGTGCCCTACCTCCATGACTGCGGGGGCGATGAGACAATGACTGATGTAATGACAAGAACCGTGAATCCCGAAAACTCAAACCCCGTCCCCAAACCCTGAACCCTAGACCCAAATCCCTTTAACCCCAACCCTAGTCCACAAGCCCTAAACCCTAGACCCTATACTCTAGTTCCCCCAGCCCTAATCCACAAGTTTGAAACCCTAAACCCTAATCTCTTGACCCCAAGCCCCAACCCATCATCTTTTTCGCTCAGCCTCCGGGAAGTTCGGCTCATACTCACACAGGAGCATCACGAACCAGACCCTTGGGCCATGTGGGGGTGTTTGTTTGGCAACCTTCTGCATGCGAAAAGGGGAAGGATGTGCTTTGGGGTTTAGGTGGATTTGGGGAATAAAATTTCAAGTGCTGCAGCTCAAGATTGTCCAAATCTGATTCAAGAAAGCCGCCATCAGCCTACCCTAAACCCTGAACCCCGGGTGAGCTACTCCTACCTGTGGGGGAGTTGAAGGGTTTCGCAAGCTACCCTGCCACAAACTAACATGGAATCCCAAAAGGCCCCCTGTGATGGTTTAGGGTTAAGGAGGGCCTAAACCCTAAACCCTAAACTTGGAGTTTAGGGTTTAGAGTTTAAGGCTCCTCTGTGTTCATCCCCGAAACCCTAAACCCTACACCCTAGGGTTCCATCTTGGTTGGTGTGGACGTCCAGGTCTGAGACCCCTGGAGCACCTGTACTCTAAAACCCTAACCCCTAAGCCCTAAACCCTAACCCCTAAACCCGTTTAGGGTTTGGGATTTAGGGTTTAGGGTTTAGGGTTTGGGGGTTGGGTTCAGGGTTGAGGGATTCTGCATTAGACGGATTGTACGGAGAATATGAAGATTTGTTTCAGAAAATCTACATAAAGTCCTGTCTTTCGAAGAACATTGAACAATGCTGAATAAGCTGGACTTAACGTTCATCTCATCTGAATCTGGAGCATGGAGATTTTCAAAATAATATTTCAAGCTTCCCTAACAAAAGACCCCCTTACAATTCCCATCCTAAACCCTAAACCCTAAACCCCAAACCCTGTTTCATGCCGCCGGAAGTCCAAAAAGCTTGCTCGAAAGTTGTGAGCTTTGGAAAGGTGAATACCGCAAGGCCTTGATCATTCCCATATGAGCTACTGTCTAAACTCCTAGTATCCCCCGTAATAAGCCCTATAGTAGTGCCCTATATAACCCCCTATATATTCCCCTTTAAAGGAGTTTAGACTACAGCTCATATCACCGTAAGGTCCACTTGAGGTACCCTAAACCCTAAACCCTAAATAGCAGTTTCCATCTGATTTTCCATTATCCCAATATCACAAAGTTATGGAGGGAAGCCAGGTCGATACCATTAGTGCTTTATTTTAAGCTCCTACATTCATCAGGAGATGATAATGATTGAGACCCTGGCTATGTCTCAAAGCAAAGCACTGCTCTTGAGACTCCCATTCTGGGGAGTTTGTCATAGCAATCCATATCCTAAGTGGTACCCTGCAATGCGCTTATACCCCTATATGTACGCGGGGTGCCTAGGGTCACCCTGTTTTGGGGAGCCCCCATATCGCACCGATACATTAACCCTGCGTGAGCTTTGGACCCGAATGCACAGGGAACGTCGTTGAAGTTCAGCACCAGCATATGCTTCTCCAAGTACTCACTGCCCTTGGAAGGTCAAAAACGTCTGAGGTTTGCCGAATCAACCCTCGAAGGTTCAGGAGTAGCTATACATGGAATAATAGGCAGGATGGCTCCTTGCTGAACTATCAGCTATAGTCGAAACCCTGCGAAACCTGTAGAGCGAAGGCTATGGTCCACAAGAGGCTCTGAGGTATGCAGAAATGCTGCTTCTGGCTGAAGTAAATCTAGCCTAGGCTAAATGGGTCTCTTCCATTTGTGTTCTCAGGGTTGCCTGGAAGCATGGGATTTTTGTTTTTTTTATAGAACGTAGGGCATCTGTAAATGGTGCTGCTACTGACAGGTATAAGCACATATGTATATGCATGTACATATCGCTTGAATATACAATAATATTATATGTCCAATAAAGACCCCAAAACACTATAGCGCTTTTTTCTTGGGACCCCCAAAAAAGGTACCCCTAGTTTTGGGAAACCTACACCCTAAACCCTATATAACTCATCTATATCCCTTTATCCCCTTTGAAAATCCATATGAGCTATAGTCTAAACTCCTAGTTCCTAGTATCCCCCTCAACATCCCTTATAATATTCCCCCATATTATCCCCTATATAACCCCCCTTTAAGGAGTTTAGACTATAGTACCCTAAACCCTAAACCCTAAACCCCAAACTCTAAACCCTAAACCCTAAACTATGACACCATGGCAACACTAGCTTCGGCCTCTAAGTTGGCGTTGTTTTCGTAGAGGTCCCCGCCGAAGACCTGCACGGACCCCAAAAGTATCTAGAATAGGGGACCAAACCCCTTTATGGTTTAGGGTTTAGGGTTTAGGGTATCTAGAATAATGGACCAAGCCCCTACATGTCAGATATTGTCCAAAACAACATTATTCTGCATATTTTGGGGGCTCAGGCATGCGATGCCAATGTACCTCTGCTTATCAGTGCGCTGGTTTTAGGGTATAGGTTTAGACTTTCTGCAGCTTGCCCGTGTTTGTGGTTTCGGGCTTTGCAGCATCGCTGGATGCGCGACTTCTTCCATCCTTGCCAATACCAATGCCCCCCCTAGACCCTAAACCCTGAATCCTACCCATATCTCCATGATCAGCATGATAAAAAAAGCGCTGGCTGGCTTCGCTTTTGCTACCATTCCCAGACCCTCGAAAGGATCCAAAAGATGGAACCCCTTAATAATCCCTCATAATTGAGCCATTGTTGGGGGGTCCATTTTTTGGATCCTTTTGGGGGTCTGGTTCATGGAAATTATCGTGAAACTATCACGCGGGGCTTCCGCTCCCTTGGACGATGGCGCATGGCAACAATAACTAGCCCCCCTAAGTAGATCGAATATGGCTTTGGGTATATTGTGATAAGACCCCGACATATCCCATATTCTATCTACTTAAGGGGGGTGTATGGGCAGCGAGAGCCCTGGCAGATTCAGTGAGATAATTTATACCTCCATGGTTAATGTAGACCTCTGATTCTTTAAGGGCCTTAATATTAGGATCCCTATTATAATCCCTGTTCAGGGGAGGGGATTTATTAATTAGGGGTCTACATTATCCAGGACATGTCATGCAGGCCTTCTAAATCCACCGGTACACTCCCCTCGCCCCCCGAACCTATGGAAGTGATATATAATGGGATCCTAATCTTGTCACAATTGCAATACAGGTGGGGGCAGTATCCAACCTATTTCGATCAATTTGGCCCGCCACGTGGATAGCGACACCCTAGACCCTAAACCCTAAATATTGGGTACTGCCCCCCCCCCAGTAATGGTCTATATTCGGGGTCCTATTAAGGGCTGTATATAACCATATTATAATTATCCAAATGTTACTGAGGGGGGGGGCAGTACCCAACCTAAATAGTAGTTTCCATTCTATTTTCCATAATCCAATATGACCCCTATATAACCCTAAATGTATCCCTATAACCCCCTAAAACCCTCTGGAGCCCGCTTCATCATACACGCACCCTGAGGCCAACCTATGTGGCCTGTGAGACGGACGCTCTCCGGCTTGGCTGCTGGTAGTGTAGGGGTTTAGGGGTTTAGGGGTTTAGGGGTTTAGGGTTTTGGGTTTTGGGTTTTGGGTTTAGGGCCCTCCCCTTCATGATTAGAATAGGGACCCTGATATTAAGGCCCTTAAGAGTAGGGGGTTTATTAACAAGGGGTCTACATTACCGGACTTACTGACAAGATGGATATTGTAAACAAAGGGGCTTGCCTGTAGTGATGTAGCTTAGCTCAAGTTCCTTTACAGCAATCCTGTAAACACTTCGAGTCCATGACATTCCCGGATACCCTTGATCAACAAATCATAGGTCCCCCCGCTACCCCCGCTAGTTTAGGGTTAAGGGGTTTAAGGTTTAAGGCTCAGGCCCCCCATGGTTCCTCTTACGTACCTGAGCTTGACCCGAACCATCCCTAAGATGAGTGTGATTAAGGGAGCTGTGGGAGGGGGGTTGTACAGGGGGTTGTGCGGGGGTGGCTGGGGGTCAAGAAAACCCACCATGATGCGCGCAGTATTCCCCGTGGCACACACAACTTACCCAAAAGCAGATCCTAAATTCCAAGCCCCAAACCCTAGGACAACCCCCTCTGCTCAAAGCAAACCTGGACTGAGATGGTACAGAAGAAGAAGATCACCACGCCCAGCAGCGTGATCATGTCCTTCCCCAATCAGTTTGGGGTCTAGGGGGATGCACTCCCCCAAAGTAATCTGCAACCCCTTTAAAAGGCTTTATAGGGATTGTGCAAAGCATCCACGGGAATATGTAGGGAGATATAGGGTTTAGGGTATATATCCTCCCCTAAGCACACCTGGAACCCACGACGGTGGGTTGGGGCTTAAGGTTTTTTCATTTCAGGGTTGCAATCACGACCTACGTGGGGTCGCGTGCTTAGGAGAGGAGAAGCTACCACAGTACAGCTTCATGTCCTGAGAACCGGGTTTCTTCTACTAACGCCATCACCAACAACGTCACCGCCACCACCACAACTAGACACGCTACCACCCAAGCCGCTGCCGCGGCCGCATGTATGGCAGGAGCTTTAGCAAATACAGTGGTTAATGCAATAGCCCAGCAGTTGCAAGGAATACTATACGTAATTATTCTACGCGGGTATGCGAGGGCAGAAGTCCCAACTATTTCATAGCTTCTATAGCAGTACCCCAGCTCTCTTGCATGAAGTGGCGAGTCACGCAGATGTGATACAGGTAGGTACGTTAAAAAGCGCTACTGTTGACGAGTTGTAGCTATAGGGCGGCAGGTTATAACCTGGCGACCTAGCCATAACTTGAGAGCTTTCCTACCTAAAAAGTGACCCATGAGGGTCCATCCAGGAAATCCGGTGCTTGCAGTTCTCACATAGCAGATAGAAGTTTAAGGATTAGGGGTTTAGCTTAGGGCTTTGGACTTTAAAGCTTCGGGTTTGTGAATAAATTTGTGTATGTTTTTTGGGGGGGCAGGCGGGGGTCGAGAGTTTCGGGCGGTTTAGGGTTCGGGGTTCAGCATCTCAAGGATAAGGGCTTGGCGTGCGACCCTCGTGTCACCCGGACCAGCCGTACATGCGCCCAGGAACGTTGAATAACCACCCTCCCCGAAATTACCATGAAAACTGGTACATGTCTCTTAGAAGGGGCATTTGTCTTTGTAGCCCTCAACCCCTAAGCCCTAAACCCTAAACCCCAAATCCTCAACCCTAAGGCCTAGACCCCAATATAACCCTAAACCCAAAACCCTAAGGCCAGACCCTAAAGCCTGAACCCTAAATCCCAAACCCTAAACCCTGCTTGGGCTTCAAGAGAGTTCTGAGAATGGTCATGAAGATGGTCAGGGTTTGCTGATTGGCTTAGGGTTTAGGGTTCAGCGTTGTGGGCCTAGGCCTTATAGGGCTTGGGCTTAGGGTTAGGGCTTAGGGTTTAGGGTTTAGGGTTCAGCGTTGAAGGTCTTGGCCTTCGGATTTAGGGCTTAGGGCTTGGAGTTTAGGGCTTAGGGTTTAGGGCTTAGGGATTCGGGCTTAGGGCTTAGGGCTAAGGGAGGGCTTAGGGTTTAAGGCTTAGGGTTTAGATCTTAGAGTTTAGGGCTTCCTTGCCGCAAATCGAGGCCACGTTCAAAACACAGCCAGACTCCCAAAACACTCAACCCAAAACAACATAGATCCTTCAGACGGGTTTCTACAAGGTCTAGATCATACGTCATGTGGGCCCAAGAGAGACCCCAAAATTCAACAGTCCTTTTTTAGGGCGCACACAAGGGAGCTGAGGTTTTAAAACTCCCACATATTGAACGCTGTCGTATTCCGATGGGGGTTTAGGATCTAGAGTTTCGGGCTTAGGGTTTTGGGTTCAGGGTTTAGGGGGTAACCCTAAACCCTAGCTCTACAGCCAAAACCCATATCGCGCGTCACACGTCAGGGTTTCCCACCCCGAGCACCTGGGATGCCATGACTAACTTGGACACCGTGTCAGTCATGAACTGGACCTCAGATGGGGTTTAGGATTTAGGGGTTTAGGGTTTAGGGCATATTCCCCCCCTGATATTACAAGCTCCCACCTCCCTAGTATCACACATGCCCATTGTGGTAGACTACACCGGGTTGCGAATATTCAACACATGGTGGGTGGGGGGTTGAATTCCCGAAGTATCATACACCCTTGGAGTTCTGGTACCAGAGTATACACAGGTCATGCAGGATTTTTAGTATCAGCACTACTTTAAGACGTGTTCTGCCAGAGTATATTCTAATTCAGTACGACTACCATTGCTAGTTTTCGTACTAAAGACAATATTATGGAATCTACATGTCTACTTATTCCGGCTTCTACCATGTTTGCAATTGGTGCTGCTGTCGGCTGATTCAGAACGTGCCACTTGCCTTTTAGAGGGACATCCTCAAAAGATATAAACCCTAAACCTTACACCCTAAATCCTCGAATGACATGAATCCTGGCGCCCAGGCAACGGCAGCTTTATCTTTAGGGAACTTAGTAAAGTGTAATATATTACATAATATATCACAAAAAATGGAAGATGTTGGAAATAGACGTAAATGCCGTGTAATAGAAGAAAACATAATACAGCTACAAAGGACTAGTCCCTTTCAGCTGAGCCGGCCCTATCGGGATATGAGGGTTATGTGGGGACATTATAGAAGTATACAGGACAAAATTTGGGACCCTCCTTGAGAGTCTCTAGAAGAAGGCCATTTTTGATTGTTTTAAAGTCTGTACTGGGGCCCCCTGTTGATTAGAAACGCCCATTACTTTATACCTGAAGGGTTACAGTATTTTGAGAGATCTCTACGCGCCAAACTCTAGGCCTCAGTAAGCTCCCCACCACAAGCCCTGCAAAATGCCCTACTTTCCCCACCATGACCCTGCTAATGGAGGTGGTGCAGAGTGGCTACCAAGGCTACTTTCTGGACGGTAGCCCCTATATGATCCCAATACCATACTACTTTCCCTTCCTTCGGTCCCGAAAAAAACAACCAGCAAGTTAGCCTCCTACGAACCCTCAGTATCCGTTTCATGCTCCATGCGTTTTTCGATTTGATTGTCCATTGTTGGAAGAAAAATACCATATAATCCTTCTATTGTCCTAGACTTCTTTTGACCTGTATATGTGAAAATATGTTTTTTATTGAAAAACGCAGATTCTATCTACTTTAGGATGACTATAACCCCATACCATAAACCTAAACCCTGAACCCAAGGGACCCTAAACCCTAAACCGATGGACTGAGCCTGCCACTGACTCGAGATTCTTCAAATTCTTGACCACCCGAAGGAGCCTTCGGGGCTCAGGCTTTAGGGTTTAGGGTTCAGGGTTTAGGGTTTAGGGTTTAGGGTTCAGGGTTTAGCTCCCAAGCCTACAATTAGCTCCCAAGCCCACAAAACCCTAGTCCCTGAATCCTGAAACAGAGCCTCATGCCCTTCACCTAGAACCTGCCAACCATAAACCAGAAGCCCTGGACTCGAAACCCTTAAACCCCGAACCTCATGAGAGAGTGCAGGGCTCAAAAGTGTCGATGAAACTATGGAGATACGATAAAAAATCCTTTTCGGGGTTGAGTGCTTCAATCAAGTTGTAGAGAGTGCAGGGCTTAAAAGTGTCAATGAAACTATGGCTAAAAAATTGCCCTGCAGCAAGTGAAGCCCTTGTTTATCTGAGGGGATGCCAGCGTCTCAAACACCTCTCCTGAACTCCCACTCCCTGAATCCATACCCTCGACGCTAAATCCTCTGATGCCTAGCTTGATGCCTGATGCTCCCAGGCCTGTCATGCTTTGCGTTTATCACTGCTGGGAGATATACGGGTATTTCTAACTGGATTTTCATAAAATAGCTAGAGTTAAACCTACTCCTGACTTCCTTTGAGGTACTTATGGCCCTTCTTATTCAAACCCAGGAACCTCCCAAAGGGTAGGACCAAGGCTAAGACAAGATAGCTTTCGAGCGGTGCACTTCTCCGAGTTGCTATAACCAGTCATTGGACAGGGTTTAGGGTTTGGGGTATTCGTACTATTGCTGGCAATTTCTGCAACCAGGACTATCACGGCATGAAGGAAGGATGTTATAATGTAGTAGCTTCCATTTTACTTTCCATTATCCCTATATAACCCTATGTAACTCTACAACCCTATAAACCCAAAATAAACCCTAAACTCTAAACCAAGAACTTTACAGTCCCTCGGAGGGCCGCCATAACACAAAAATCTCCAGGATGAGATGTATGTCGGGGGCGACTTTTGAGAAAGTTCAAGCAGTAATTCCACAGCCCTACCAACCGAACCTCAACCTCTGAAACCCTGCACCCTGAAAAGTCCAAAACCTCCAAATTACACTCTGCAGCTTGCCAATCCTCAGCAGTCGCAGCATGTTGGCGTAAGTCGAAATGCCGCTCGCGAATAGCCTCCCCATCAGGGAACAGCAAAAGATTGGGAACTGTTGCGGCTCAAGGCGTACTGGGACTGCGGGTTAGGGGCTGAGGGTTTCGAATTTGGGCGAATACAGTTGATACTAGAAGCCTGCATGACCTCAGTATACTCCAGAACCCAGACTAGATGGTCGCTAGCCCCATGCAGTCTTTTGTAGCACGGCGTTAAGAGGTGATAAGCGCAGTGATGATCCCTACACTGACCCATGTCCATTTCATATTCCAACTGTTTTTTCATGTGTTTCTTCATTAGTTCTAGAACATGGGTAATGATTTAGGGTCCTACAGTAGAGCGGGGTTCACTGATTATGTACGCTCCCCATCGAGGACTCAGTTTAAGGTCTAGGGCTTGGCTTTAGGGTTTAAAATTCTGAGTTTAGGGTTTTGGGTTTAGGGTTTGGTGCTCCGAAATTTGTAGAGTTTGCGAGGTTGAGAACTTGTTTTTCTGGGGGGGCTTCTGTTTGTGACCTTTGCCAGCTGATCCGAAAGCTGGGCCCCCTCTTGGATCCACGCTGTACATGGGGGTTTCCCCAAATTCCGGGTACTTATTTGGAGGTTCCCTATAGCCAGGTTTTTCGTATTTGGGGGGTCTGCTGAGGTCTCGTTCGTTCTTGGAAACTACCACATGGTTTAGGGTTTAGTGGGCCCCAAAACAGATCCATCCACGGCGTGAAACAGGTGAGAAGGCCTGGTTCTGGGCATTGGGGACCATGCGCTCTAACGAACCTAAACGCTGATCCCTACAGCCGCTGGGTCACTGAAGATTCTCTGGCTTCGCCCGTCACGTCCCATGACTGCTTACCGGCTTATCGGAATCCGAAGATATTGGATACGACGAAGGGTGGGGTCCTCAACTACAGAATTCAACTTAGCTTGCTGAATTACATACCTACATAGGTAGGAATGAAGTGGTTGCAACTCTCCGCTCCTATATCAGAAATGAAATAGGCTGCGGCTGGTTCGGAATCAATCGCTTCAGAACCCACTTCCAACAGGACCGCCTCTCAGCTATCGCTGTGGCCAGAAGCAACATCGTTGTGAAGAAGTCGAACTGGTTTGAGATGCTGGACCTTGACAATAATAGCAATAGTAATAGTAATAGTAATAATACTAATAGTAATAGTGATAGTAATAGTAATAGTAATAGTAATAGTAATAATAACAGTAATAGTAATAGTAATAATAATTTGATCACACTGGAGCCTACCTAGTCAGACTCGGGAGTTGGGGTTCATCAATACCCAAGGAACAGGCGGAAAGACTAATGACTCGTATCAATACTTAAAACGACTCCTTGGGGAGCGGCTGCACGTTTAGGAGGCCTTCAAATGCCTTCTGGAGGGGAGGATGTTGGGGACTGAAAGAGCACGGAAAACAGAGATGGAGCAGAGGCCATGAAACAAACTCAGCATACAACCCTCAAACTCGATTACAGAGCGAGGTTCTAGCGCCTGAATTCCCAAGTGCAAGCCTATTGAACTTTCCCGCGTGGCAGGCTTGCGGCAACACAGATGCAGTAATGGATCCTTGCTCAATGCTTCGCTGCCTGGCTCTTACCTCTGCTTGGCAAAGACTCAAGGAATGCATCCCGAAGCAGTCCTTATATCGCCCAATAATGGAGTCATAGCAGCCCTTATGTCCTCCAATAATGGAGTGATAGCAGTCCTTATATCCCCCAATAATGGAGCAATAGCAGTCCTAATTTCCTTATATCCCCAATAATGAAGTAAATTCCTTCTTTCCCCCAATCATGGAGTAATTTCCATTTTCTTCTCAACTCCTTCATTCCCGGCTGACCAGAGG